TATGATTTGTCTGCTCCTCATTCTTCTCATGTACCAAGTCTCAATTCATTGATTCCGTCAGAGGAATTCTCTCTGAAATATGCTTCAGTGGATCAGGCTATCCAGGTCATTCTTCAGACAGGTAGGGGTTCTTGGCTGTCCAAAGCAGATATTTCTGATGCGTTCAAATTACTTCCCATCAGACCATCTCTCTGGCAATGGCATGGCATCAAGTGGAGAGATGCATATTATTTCGCAACCAAATTGACTTTTGGTTCCAAAAGTAGCCCCAGTCTTTTTGACAAGTTAGCGCAAACTCTGGAGTGGATACTGTTGGAAGTAAGGGGTTGCCAGAATATCATTCATTACCTTGACGATTTTCTGTTGATTGAAAGCCCTTCACAGGTGCCCATTAATTTACAAGTTATTTTGCAAGTTTTCAAGCAGTTAAACATTCCGGTTGCTGATCACAAGACTGCAGAAGTGATCACGTTTTTAGGGATCTCCTTAAATTCACGTGAGATGTCGGCTAGTCTGCCCCAAGAGAAGCTCGACCGGATCAGATTAGGTGTTCGTTCCTTGGTTATTTCCCAGGTTTGTACTAAGATAGAGTTACAATCCCTTTTGGGCATGTAAAATTTTGCCATGAGGATCATTCCTCAGGGTAGGTCGTTTATTTCCAGATTGTTAGTTTTATTGCAGGAAACTCACGATTTGGACGCATCAGTTCATCTAAATGCCAACGCCCGGGCAGATCTGTTCATGTGGGACAGATTTCTGAGCGGGTGGAATGGCATTTCGATGTTTGTTCCTAGGGCCAACGTCAATTCTCCTCATGTGTTTTCAGATGCGGCAGCCTCGGTAGGTTTCGCTGCCATTTTTGGCTCACATTGCTTGGCCGCCTTATGCCCCACGGAGGTACTACAGATGCCGGGTTTTTCTCAGACTTCGGCGTTGTTTGAGATCTATCCTATCGTAGCAGCTGCAGTAGTTTGGGGGCAAAGGTGGTCGGGTCACACGGTGGTTTTCCACACTGACAACATGGCGACTGCAGAGATCATTAACAAGGGTAGATCCAAATCTTTACTCATCATGTCTTTCATGAGCAGGTTGACCTGGATAGCTCTGGAGCAGGGGTTTCATTTTCATGGTTTGTTTGTGGAAGGGGTGAGAAACGTTTCGGCCGATGCTTTGTCTCGTTTTGATTTTTCACGTTTTTTCTTACAGAATCCAGAGGCGGATACAGTGGGCACCCCGGTACCGGACTGGCGGTTGCTGGTATTGGACTAGAATCTCTGATGGTGGTCGCCAGTTCTCTAATTACAAAATCTTTGTCTAGCAGTACGTTGAGAGCGTACCGCAGAGCGTGGGAGGTTTTTTCCAAATTTCGGGTGACTTGTCCTAGGGGTAATACTGGTCAGGTCAAATATATGGTGGCCTTCGTGTCTTACTGTCACTCAGTTCTGGCCCTATCTCATAACACGATCAGGCTATATTTGGCGGGGGCGCAGCATTTTTTGGCGCTTCAGGATCCGGATAGACCTTCCATATTTGCTGCCTATCCGATCAAGGCCATCCTCAGGGGTATCCAGAAGAGTCAGGCCACGGTCAAGTTGATCCATCGGCCTATCACGGGGGACATATTTCGCAGACTGTCAGAGGTTCTTTCGCTTTCACCTTTCGGGGGTTCTTCCCAGTCTGGTGCTCAAGTCAGCCATGTATTTAGCATTCTATGGGTTTTTGAGGCCAGGGGAGGTAACCCAGGCAGGTGGTTCTCTGCAAGGGCAATTTAGTCAAGGTGGGTGTTAGCTATCAGCTGCAGTTACCTTGCGACAAAACCCGGCAGGTGGGTCCCGGGCACTTAGTCAAATTCTTCCAAACCGGGAACGCCTGGTGTCCAGTGACAGTTCTTGACAATCTCTTTTTGGCTCTTAGTCTCCACAAGTCAAAGGACCCCTTACTCCCGTTCCCCATCAGGCCGCTTTCGTCTAGCCAATTCTTGAAACACATTTGCATCCTGTTGGCTAACATGGGTTTGAATCCAGCACAGTTTTCTGGGCATTCATTCCGCATTGGGGCAGCGTCCGCTGCTTCCAAGCAGGGGGTCCCAGCACACATCATCAAACACCTTGGTCGCTGCAGTTCGGGCTGCTTTGTCCGATATATTCCGGAGCCACAGGCAGAGCTGGTCCGAGCTTTCGGCAAGTTGGTGGATTAGCAGGTTAGGGCACAGTTCCTACCCTTCTCAGTCGGACCACAAGTTTGAATGGATTTGTGGGAGGAGCCTGTGCCTTTAAAGACGGCACGGCTCACAGGGGATTTACATCGGCGGGTCACGAACGTCCCCACCCGCCCATTCCCCTTGTTTTCATTCATTCATTTCATTTACTATATATTCTACAATAAATAACTGAAGGTTGACTACACACAGCACAGCAAGAACCAGAATCTATAGTGACATTAGGGAGACCAAGCTAATCTTCTATCATTTTAAAAAATCCAAAAGGAAGATTTATTTTTTTACCTTTCCTGGGCAAAACCTGATGCAAAACTCAATTTGCCAAATTTACACAAATTCAATCAGATTGTTCTATCAATATAGGGACAGCTGGGAGTTCCACATAAAGCCAAAGTGTCTGAAATAAATGTATATTATTGCTATAAATTAAAACCAGTTATATTGTTGGAAACAAACATCAAGTTACTGTCACTTACAGGGACAACCAGTAATGTGGAGAAGAAGTTGCTGAGAAATTCCAGGAGAAAGGCCTCAGAAGAACGTATCTTGCCATCTATAATTATAGTCTTTGGTACATCAGCAACAAGGCTTACTACAGCTTTGAAAAAGGCATCCGCTGAAGAAAGAAAAGTAATAAAATAGTTAAAAAAATGCATTCAGCATGTCACTAGATGAATACAAGAAATCTGAAATCGTGGAATATACATGGCAGACTGGTGACACAGCCTTACAGTGCCTGTTTATACCACTGCATTGCAGTAACGAATTACTACAAAACATGGCAGTGTGCCTTGCAGCACAGGTAATTAAAGCACCTGCGAGGGAAGAAGATTGATTACCTTAGTTTTTTCTTTTTCTATATTACTGAATGTGTTATTTAACAAACACACACATTTTATGTTGACATGTCAATATTATAAATGGTTTCAAATATCAAGGTCATTAATGGAAAAAGTTTATGAATGGTGAAACCTAGTTTATTCACAATAATCTTAGCTAGAGGATGTTTTGCTCATTAGCACTGCACAGTAGCTAGGAAGCTTTCTGGTTTCTTCCAGTACATACTGGGAACTCTTGCTTAGTATGAGCCTGTTCTTTGCCCATGCAAGGTAAAGATTAATTTTGTTTCTGTATGCTTGTGTACCAGTGGGAAAGCAAAGAGAAGATAAACAGGGGTTGGGGGTGCATTATATAAAGCCTAACTCTGGACAATGCTAAATTTAAAAAAAATGTCCTCCATCCGCAGCATATGAAGAATGTATTGCTTATTTTCTAGGGGATTATATAACACAGAGTAAAGCAGAAATCTAGGCAGAAATATAAGAACAATGCTGTATTCATTAATACATTGTTAAATTACATTTTTAGGGTATTTTTAAACCGTGAAGTACCCGAATTTGACTCTTACAGTCCTTGTACAGCAGAACTCAGAGGGAAATGGAGAAGCCTTACAAGGAGTCAATCAGGAGTACTGCAGGGCAAGAAGCATGCTGACAGTAGGAGAAAATAGAGTGACAAGGAGAAAAGCTCATCAGCCTGCTGCTTTTTCTTTAACTTTCCAGTCACAATGAGGAGGTGACCTGTATTTGAAAGTAAAACTGCAGCAGAGAAAGACAAGGCAGGGCCATTCTATGTGGTAGACCTGTGCAAATCTCAGGACCTGATGGAGGACAGAAATACAAATCCTTCGCCAGGTAAAACAGCTCTCATATATGTATTTTATCTGTGTATTTAGATGTATGCCTGGAATTAGGTTTTAATACACGGTTCTGAATTCCTCCCAACCCACCAATTATTGTAACCATGTGTTCTCCAAAGTAGCTCCTTATGCTAGTCTAGCGCCTTATGCCAGTTTCCAACTGATCATGTTATTATCTCTCCTATATGCATTGTCTTGTGCAATGCAGGACCTGTGACCATCGCTGGTCCTGCATTGTACATAATGATGTAAGAGAACCCACCCACATTCGGTGACTAAACCACTGGATGTCATGACACAAGGGACTAATGTAACTAATATTCTCTGTTAAATCATTCACCACAAAAACAAGACACATATTCTTCATCAGCTAGGAGTAGGGGGATTGTAAACTTCTTTTGCCCGGAATTCGGGATGCACCGATACTAGTATCGGTATCTATACCAAGTATTTGGGTGGGTACTCCTACACTTAGTGATGAGTAAGCCAGCATGGAGCTGGCTTCCTGGTGGGCGGCGAGTCATTACCCCCCCCACCCCCCCAGCTTCCTGATTGGCCAGAAAGCCTCCTTCCTCATCACCTGAATATAAAAAATACCCTGAGCATATTTTTTACAATAAGTAGAAAAATCTAAATTTGGTGCATCTTGTAATGCAGGATAGTATCTTGCTTGCTTTGCTAGCTGCTGCCGCTTGACATTGCATGCTATGGCTTAGTCTGTTGTCTATGAGGAACCCCCAGGTCTTTCTCTTGGCCCGACTCCCCCAGAGGAGCACCATCTAGACAGTAAATGGCATGCATGTTCTTAGTTCCCATGTGCATAACTTAGCATTTTTCACATCTGCCAAGTTACAGCCCATGCCTCAATTTTATCTAGGTCTTGCTGCAGAAATTTGATGTCTTGTTGAGAATGTAATGCTTACATAGCTTAATATCATCAGCAAACACTGAGACTGAGCTATTTATTCCAATAATAATTATGAATACGGGGCGAGGGAAGCAGCATAGACAGTTATTATGGGACACCACACCCACAATTTAACAATCTGTATTTAAACCTGTGGGTTATACAATATTTAGGTTTTTTTAGGTGTCCATAAATCGCTAAAATTAAAATAATATAAGTTGTGGCTACAGTATAAAATCCCCATTTTATTTCTCAATGTAAAAGTAAAAAAATGATAAAAGATAGTTTGCATTCTATATAAAAAGACATATCCACAATATGATAAAAATCTTAAAGCTGAACAAAGTCCGTCTATTTGCACAAATAACCTGCGCCTGTCCTCTTCATTCATGAGGTTATACGTACCTCTACCCAATATAACCTCAAAAATGAAGGGGATAGGAGCAGGTTAATGTGCAATTAGACTAAGTGTTACGATCTGGGATCAGGTTCGGAGTCCAGTAGCTGAAACAGCAGGCAAATTCGTGGTGAAACAGGCCAGGTTCGGTACACAACCAGACGGTAGTAGTATAGGAGCCTGATCGTGAATCCCTGTCTGCCCCGATTACTATAGGGGAAATTACTAAAGTGATTTAATTTCTTTCCTGCCCATAAATCACCCGGTACGGACGGATTTTCGAGCGAATATTACAAATGTTTTGCAGATGACCTGTCCCCATATATGCTCCCTATGTATAATGAGGCTATATCCTCAGGATCCTTTCCCCTTGAGATGCCTAAATCAATAATCCTGGCTTTGCCAAAACCTGGGAAAGAACCTATCCATCCGCAAAATCTTAGACCCATCTCCCTCCTAACTTCAGGTATCAAGATATATGCGAAATTAATAGCTAATCGTCTGTTGTCTCTAAACCCACCGCTCAGGGGCGTGGCTTGGCGCATGGAGCGGTGAGACGTGACTCGGCTCGTCTCCCGCTCGAGGACACGTTATTCTGCAGACAGCAGCGGCTTTCCCCCGGGCATCACCGGCAATGAGTGACCAGAAGAAGAAGGGGAAAAAGCAGAAGCGAACGTGTCCCGCGCCGCGGGAATTAACCCGTTTTTTCACCCGCACGGCACCCACGGCCTCTGCATCTGGATCCACAGGCAAATCCAAGATGGCGCCGCCGGACTTGTCTCCCCCACACACTGAGGCTCCAGACCGGGAACAGGTGAGCCAGGCATATGAGGGGCATTCTCCCCAGGGCTCAGGAAGACTGTCCCACCACCCCAGTATCGCTGACCGGGCCCCTACGGATCCTACCTTGCAGCAGGGGTGCCAGCCACAGGAGAGAAACTCTCCCCATAGCCCAGGGGGTATGTCCCACCGCTCCAGAAGCAGTTCTCAGGCCTCCCTTAGCTCTCAGGGAGGATGGGATATGGAAGCATACATTAAAGCCCTGCCAACTATGAAGGACATTGAATCCTGTTTTTCACGCTTTGAAACCACATACAAAAGGGAAATGACCGCCTTAAAAAAAGACATAAGCACCAGATTAGAAGATGTTGAACAAACTTCCTCTGATTTGAGGGCCCGGCTGCAAGTGCACGATACCACCTTGCAAGAACACACAGTGTTACTGCATCAACTGATTTATCAGCAGGATGATCAAGAGAACAGGAACCGGCGCAATAACATCCGCATCAGGGGTCTCCCTGAGTCTGTGGACCCCAGGGACCTGGAAGATGCCGCGATCGCTCTCTTCAATCAGATACTGAATAAGCCTAAGGATACCCCAATTGAAATAGACAGGATTCATAGAACACTAGGGGCTAAACATCCTGACCGCTCCAGCCCCAGAGATGTCATTTGCAGGATCCACTTTTTCAAGCTTAAAGATGACATCATGAGGGCAGCTCGCACGCAAGACGCCATCGTATTCAATGACTCCCCTATACTACTACTACCGGACCTATCAGGTCATACGCTTACTCTTCGCAGGGCTCTGCGTCCCCTACTTGACCTGCTACGCCAACGCAACATTAAATATAGATGGGGTTTCCCCTTCCAACTTATTGTTGTACATGAAGGCAAATCGGCTGTTTTCCGCTCCATGGGTGACCTTCCATCTTTCCTGGGCAAGCTGGAACTCCCTCAAGTCTCGCTTCCGGACTGGCCACTTAAACTGACCCTGCCCGGCTTTGTATCACCACCAGCGTGGATGCAGAAACCAAGAAAATCCGCCGGGCGAGCGGTGGCATCGTCGTCTTCTAACACTTGACTGTTAGCCCACTCGCCTATACACTCCTGCAACTTCGACGTCCCGGATGGGACACCTTTTTTTTTTGCGGGGGTGAATGCCTCCTGCCGCACACCGATTGATGCCCGGTGACCCACCTGGGAAGTTTGCCGTGGTTGTTAACCACAATCGCTGCTGTCGTTCATACATGTCGTTCTTATAATAGTGTACTTAATGAAACTAGTTTACTGTGCCATTATGTTCTTTGTTTTCCTTGTTCCCTTTAGTTACCATGTTTGCACTATATCCATGTGCCCTGGAGCGGGAGAAGCCCCCTATGCTTTCCACGTTACCCCCACTTAGGTCATCAGTGAGTGTGCTCGCTGACATTTTGCACACCTGTAGGGTTTACTGGACCATAAGTTGGTTCCCAAGATGTCATTCTCTCCACACGCCACTAGGTGGCGGGAGAGTGCTTATCTTCTTATATGTCTTTTTTTCCTCCTTTCCTCTACCTGCTGCTCTGTCTCCCCTTTCCTGGTTCCCTCCCTCCCCCTTCCCTTCCTTACCCCGGGTGAGGTACACATAGCCGTGTTAGAGCTCCTTAGGCTCCCATGATGACTACCCCCCATATTGCCTTGGCGACCCTCAATGTGAGAGGCTTTAACACCCCTCAGAACCGCAGTCAGGTGCTCTATCATTTTCATAAACACAAGGTGGGGGTCTTGTTCTTGCAGGAAACTCACTTCCGAAGCGATACCATTCCTAGAATACCAACTAAATATTATCCT